TTTGGCTTTTTGGGACACAACATAGTTACCTCAGTGGTAACTGTGTGTGGGTACCTCACTGCGAGAGGCAGAAGAGACAGTGTAAACTGCAAGGGGCGGAAGCATCCCAGTGAGGTTATTGTCCTGCCTCACACCACAGAGTAGGCCCTCACTCAGGGCAGGGAGGCACCCCCGAGGCCTCGGCGGCCAGCAGTCCCTAGTGGGCCTCAGGTTTAGCCTTACCATGGACTTGCCCCCCAACCACCACCTTTTGCTCCTTCAGCAGTTGGCCGTGGGCACAATTCCAGCCATCCACTCTTTCCATGAAGAGGAAAAACCGAGAATGCAAAGGCTTTGAAGGGGCTTATTTGTCACTGGCTTTTTTCTAAAATGAGAAATTTTGTAAAAATCAGCAGTGGAGTGGAGAAAGTTTCATTTACATTCTTTTAAATTTAGTTTTCAGTGTTCATGGAGAGTCTGGGAGACACGCTTCTGCAGAAGGGTATTCGGCAGGGGTTTTGTTTTCTAAATCGCCATACAATGTCAAGATCTCCCGGGGAGACGTGGCCCTCTCGGCAAGGCGAGCGCAGTGTTAAGAGGAACCGAAGCTGTTGGAGCCGAACAGCCTGTGGCAGGCATGTGGGAGGCATGTGGGAGGTGTTGGGAGGCCCAGCGTGGATGGGGGAGCCAGGCTCCCAGCCAGTACACCTCTCTCTCACGCGTGTGTGTTCTGGGCCGGGACGCTGGTGTGAGCTGAACAGATTTGGTGTGGTTTCATCTGGGTAAAGACAGAGTGAGGAGAGGCTTGGCTCTTTGTGTTCAGAGCCTCCTGGTGAGCATGGATGGAAAACTCAATTACCAGGGAGGTTAGGGGCAGGGTGGGAGGTCAGGGCCTAACTGCCCGCTCTTCCTCTGGGCGCTGAGAGAGTTGCTCTCCTCTCTGCTGCTGGGGAGGAGGATGCATTGATCAGGGTCAAAGGTTGTGTGTCATCAAAGGCAGTCCAGGAATAAAGGGAGCCCTTCCCAAGGATTCTAGAATGGCCCCTGAAAACCCAAGGCAATTCATTCCTTTAGGAAGCTCAGATGTGCCTTATCCTCAAGAAGTCTAGAATTCTTAGTACAAAATTTATAAGAAAACATTGCTTTATCCTAGGATAGCTTTCACAGACTTAGGGTTTGAAGGGGGAGGGGTTGGGAGCATTCTCTTTCCATCCTTCTCAGCTGAGAATTCAGAACCCTCTAGGAGAGAGACTACACATGTCTCCCTTTTTTCTGAGGAAAAAACAATTCATTAAAAAGTTCTTTGTATGTGTCTGGACACCTCGAAGACAGGACCCTAGCCACCCTTGTTTCACACTTATCTTTTCCCATGGGAATTTTTCCTTTCTAGAGAGAAAAAAACAAAAAGCATATATACATAGTAATTCGAAAGCTGGAAGTTAAATTTGAACAATCACATAGCCAATGGGTTGTATAAAAAGACCATAAAGATAGAAAGACAGGCTACTGAAAGACAGAGATGCAAAAAAAAAGACAGATGGAAGGAAATTCAGAGACAGAATGAGAGCTCATGCCTGAAACCAGAACCAGAGGAGCAGTGCCACACACGCATGTGCAGCCCTGCCCGTTACCATCAGCTGATTTAAAATATGACGAACATCCTTAAATGCAAGATTCTGAACCACAGGGGAGAAAAGTTTCCCAGAGGATATATTCTTAAATATTTTCCTTAATAATTTTTTATTCTTTATAGTGAAGTATGGAAAATCAAAAGGCCCAATTCCTAGTTGTCAAAGCAAATTGAGCACATAGAGGACAAGGTTGAAGACACATCAAAATGGGTTTGGCAAATGCCACCTCTCCTAGGAAGCCCTCCTCACGGGCCCTGTTTCAGTAAACCTTTTCTCCGTGGTTCCTCCACAGATCCTCTATCTAGCACTGCCTGGTGCCAATCACCAGGTCTTTTGCGCATGTCTTATCTCCCTATCTAGCTTGGAAGCTCCTCTGTGGGGACCACTGTGGTGACCCAGGTCCCTCCTGGGCTCTAGTAGGTCCTCTGTAAGGTAGGTACAAGAGCAGGTCTGAGTCCCAGCTGAAACATGGGGCTGACTGAAGCCAAGACATCACCTAATATGCAGTTGGGTTCCCCCTGCATAGATGCTATTGTGTGTATACATATG